GGAATCTGAACACATTTGCATATTTCCATTCAAGACATAGCGTTTGGCATTCTCAAAAAGAATAAGGGTAGCTGATGGCAATTTTTATCTGAAGAGATTTGTGCATGTTAGCAATATACCATATCCTGACAGCGTAAGAAGGGCATATGGGGCCCATTAACTCACCAAATCTGCCACTGTTCTGCAAATTTTTATTAAGCAAGTGAAGTCCCTAATAGTCACTTATGTTATAGAATGCGTGTCAAATGCTATCAATAAGCAAGGGGATTGTTTTCCCCTAGTGAGAAGGCATTTGAAGTGTGTAGGAAGGCTTGACAAAAGAATAAAACACTTTAAGCAAGCACTGTATTAATAAAACTGCATCCTGCTGGGAGCCAACATACGTATTATGTGCACTTTAATGTCTGCTGCTAACAAGCTTGCAGAGTGCCATCTTGATCATAGATTCTTCTTCCCTCCATATTTTCTTCCTCCAAATTCTAACAGTGAACCTGATTGGAATTAAATAAACAGAAAACATAGTGGTGTGTTTATGTTTTTTTGTTTTGTTTTGTTTTGTTTTTGTTTTTGTTTTTTTAAACATGCTCTTGGCAGTTGGGCATTCTCCTTAGACTTAAACTTAAGACTTTAAAGGCTTAGCAAGACTTAGAAACATGGATCATCATGGCGGCAGAGTCCCTCACGCAAGGCCCCCTGGTGAGTCAGAGGACACACCAGGAAATTAGCAGACATCCAAACCAAATAGTGTCCATTTTATTAAGCACTCGTGGCAATCGAGCCAAATAAATAGTGTCCATCGATCTTGTGTTGAATGTCAGAAAACAGGTTAGTATAAAAATCCCATTAGCTGAATAAAGCCGGAGAAACGTCAAAAGAGACAACTTCGTAACCTCTCTAAGATTTTCACAGTGGCAGTAGTGAAAACAGTGGTTGTAATTAAAAGGCCTATGAATTACATCTTCAAAAGGATTCAACATTTCATTCATATCTCTTCAATTGCTAGGATATTCCTCTAATATACCCGAGAGCAAATAGTTGCAGTCCTGTGTAAAACTGAAGGTTAAGGAAGAGAACATGATGAACTCCAGAAACTTTATAAAGAAAAAAAAAAAAAAAGTAAAACAGTCTTCCATCAGAACCACAATGTAAAACTTTAAGGTTCTCCCTCCATCAACATGTCCTTTCCATGACACTTTAGCTTCTTTGCTGTCTTAGAAGACCTTCCTCATGTGAGGCCCACTCGGTTTTCAGTTTCTTAGATAAGCCTTCTATTTATTAGTACAGACCCGTCAGGAATCATATTGCTGCTATTTCAGTCTCTGTACTATCTCAATATAATGCAACAAAACAACTACATTTTAAGCAACAGCCCCAAGAGATAGCTAATAGTTGCTCTAAGGTGATGTGGGTTATAAAGGAAGTTGGGTATTAATTATAATACTTGCCATTTAAAAAATTGGTGGTGTGTGTAATTTTACCTCATTTTCTCATTTGCCACTGTTATTTAAATTGCTTCCCAGCACTAAGCATGTGCATAAAAGATGATTGTTCCAAATTTAACCTTTTAAATAAAATGTGTTCTATTAAGTCGTTACTGCTCCCTCTCTTTTCCATTGTTTGTTCATTTGTCGTTGATCCTAAAGATAGGCATCTGTGTCAGAGAGTATGGAGAAAGACCCCTACTTTTTGTGCCTATCACCCATTTGGATTTTCCACACTGTTTTAAAAAATAGTTTATTCTAGTGTTGTAAAGAATTTCAACTTGTCAATTAGGATAATGATAAGTATTTCTCCTGGGGATAATAGACATTATTCAGCCAAAAAGTTAAGAAGTTCCTTGTAAAACCTAATGTGACTAGGAAATTTGCAATATTTAAATTAAAAAAAAAAGTCAAACCAGTCAGAAGCGAAGAAGCACCAAAAACCTTGCCTTTCTAGAAACCCCATCTTTAGAATAGCCACACACACTAAGGCCCTTTGCTCAACTGTATTTTCAGTGCACATCTTCCAGAGCAAAATGAGCTGCAGCCAGAGACACAGGGAAGGAGTGTGCATCTTTTGGGCAGTACACAAAAGCACCTGAGGCCGTATTCAAGTGCAGTGTGCTCTCAGCTTTTCTTTCTGTCTCTCTTTACAATCCAGAGAGGGCCTAGCCATCAACGCCATCCCACCAAATTCACCCAGCACCACTCTCAAGCTTCCACTTAACCAAAGTGGTAAGTGTGGAGAATCTTTACCTAGATGTGTGCTGAGTGATCTTTCTTTCTTTTTCTTTATCAATCTGCCATAATTTCCTGTGTGCTGTTTATATGCCCATTTTTAACATAGGAAAGATGGGAATTAAAAAGAGCTTAGTGATTTTCCTGGCAATACTGGCAGTGGAGTCACATCTGTTCGGTTACCAGTCATGATGTTCTCCCCTTCTTTTTAGTTTCCATGGATGATGACCGTAGCTAAGGTTTTCTGTGTGCTACTGAGTGATCTTCCAAGCACGTAGCATCTACGTACTTCTGTCATCTTCACCACAAACCACCGGGGTGCCAGCATTTCACTCATTTTATAGTAGTGAAACGGAGGAACCCAAGGTTAATGACTCAAATCTAAAAGTCTAAAACTTTTAAACAGAGGAACTTAAGTTTCCAATCCAGGTTCCTAACTCTTCAGATGACTTCTTTCATGTGGTTAAAATAAATAGTTTAGGTTTCATACATTTGAATTTTAAATTTTCAAACATGCTAATCAAAATTATAGCTAACATCATTTATATTGGTGTGCAGAAAAAAAATTTTTTAAGAAGAATCTTGCTGTGTAGCCCAATCTGGCCTTCAACCTGTCCAGATAATTCTGCCTTTGTCTCTAATGTTCTAGTATTACTACTATGCATCCCATATTTGGCCCAGATTTCTGTCTAATGTCATAAATTCAAATAAAAAGAGTTCTGATTTTCTAGTATGTAATTGTTTAAAATGTTTTCCTGTATTTAATTTGTGTCATTGTCCTTAAAATTTCTCAGCTAGCAAATCTTCTGTGATTGTCACACACACACACACACACACACACACACACACACACAAGCAGCTAAGACTGTCATTTAATTTCTGATGAGAAGCAAGCAGCAGTCTTCATATGAGACTTGAAGATGGCAGTACTTGTCTTCACAGATTGTTAGGAAGGTTAAAATAATTAAATAGATTTAAAATACATAAACCTGTGTGTTGCAAGTTCTCTGCAATACCAGCTACTGTGGTAATATTTAGTTATCAACATAACTGATTTGTAGTATTTTTCTACTTATACTGTAGATTCCACTGTAAATATTTTTAGGCACAACAAGAGATAACCTTGGCTGTCAGTGCCTGATAAGTACGATTTGACTCACTACCCGACTAGAAACGAAACGGAAAATATCACAAGATACTTAGACAGGTGAGAACAGGATGGTCATAAGCAAATAGTAGCCAAGAATGGATGTCAGGGGAGTGGCTGATTATGTGTGGTGCCTGGGTCAGTTAAATATGATGAATGTGAGCGGAGGAAAGAGACAGACTCCTCAGGGAACATGGACGCGGGCTTCCTGGTTTGTAACTTCCCCTCTCCTTGTTCCCATCCTCGAGCACCAGCGGTTGGCAGGGTAGCATGGACATTGCAAACTGTGAATGTAAGTACAGTCATTGTTGGTAACTGATGTGGTGGTTATCCACAGAGCGTTGTTTAGGAATTCTATGCCTGTGTTCAGGGGGCATGTTGATTAGCGGTTTTCATACACTGTCTGTTCCTGGTGTTAGTATCAATTTAACAGTAGCCCTATGTGAAACAGTGGGAATCCTTTCCCTGTGTTTTCTAATAGGGCTTTTGTAGAATCCATATTATTTATTTAAATGTTTGATAAAGTTCTGCCGGTGTCATCACCAAGTCTTAAAGTGGTCTTTGAGAGAAAGTTTTACTTACAAACTCATTTTAAAATTTAGCTATTAGGCCATATATATGGTTTACTTCTATGTTTTAAGGCTTTACTAAACTGCACCTTTCCAGAGTTTTTTTTCCCATCACTTGACAGCTGTCTAAATCTCGACCTAATTCTTCCAGACAATTGAGGCACAACCGGTCATCATTTCTAAGTGAACCCCTGTGCTATGAAACTTGCCACTGCAAAGGTTGGAAGTGGGCATCATTTTCATCACTGTGTGAACCTCAAATGCTGTTTTGTTTTTTTGTTTTTCCTACTGGGATTGGTTTTCTAGGTCTTAGGGTTATGGGGGGTAGTTGTCTCTGAAGATATCAGAAAAAAAAAATAGTAAGCTGGTTCTGTGCTTTACAAACCCCATATGCATTGGCTTCCCTGAATGTCACATAGCATGACTTTTACAAGGGACAGCACTGGATTGGGTCTGTTCTGTGTCCTCTTTCTACACCATCTCCAGGAAGCTGTCTAGACTAAAAGCTGGGGTGATCATGGTGCTGACTGTATTTGTTTTCCATCTTTATAAGTCTGTGCTTTGTGACCTAATGTCTACTTTGTTGAATGCCATTACTACAAATTTTGTCTTTTCTTCATTGGGAAAATATAAAACTTTTCCCTTCTCTCTCTCTTTTGACCAGATATAGGAGTCTGGTCCTTGAGTCTTGAATATGTGCATACATATTGCTTTAATACTCAGGGAGCTTTATTATCTGGTACATATCCCCAGGCCATTGAATGTAGTTTTTCTCTTGCACACATCAAAGAAAAAGCCCAGTTAAAAGAACTGCAAGTACTGACATTTTTTATGTGTTATATTCATAGAAGGGCTAATAAACATAGCTCCCCATAGTTCACTCTAAAATGTCTGTGGATAAAATTGAGGCAGATATCTCTCCCAGGATAGGCTGGGAGAGAAAAAAAAAGTCTCAAATCTTTGCCAGTAAAAGATTTAATTTGTTGTGAATCTATATGAATTTATAGTTTTAAATTGTCTGATTTACAGGCAGGTCTAATCCTTGTCTCTTTTATTTCTTCTCAGTGCCAGATGAAAGCAAAGTCCAGTCATTGGCCGATCGCAGATCAGGTAAGAAATTCCTTGTAATTGGCTTTTCTCTTCCTGGAAATCACTGGCTGTGTTTTAGCAGCATTTGGATCCTGTTCCTATTCAGCAGCCAGTATAAGGCTTTCTAATTAATACATGAGATGTCTCTGTCTTCCACAAAGATGAATTATCGCTTGGCTGTGTGCATAATGGCATAATGCATGCTGACTCAAAATGTTTGAGAAAAGAGAAGAAAGGTTTCCAGAATAGTCATCATAAAACCAAAAATCTTAAACTTACATGCTAGATGAATACTTTCAAGAAACAAAAAAAAAAAAGTTGAAAAGGAAAGCTAAGAAAATTTGGAAATTTTTTCTACATAATTTCTCCATGACTTTCACATTGGGGAAGAGAGAAGATCAAAGAACAATGTAATCATTTCTCAGGGAAAAAAAATTAAAAATAGGTATATATAGTGTTGTTACAAGGAGGGCCTGCGCCAGAGATGGCTGTATTATCCCTCTTCTTCCTCATGAATGAGCTCTCATCCTGATCTCTGAGAGGTCACCTGGCTTTCCAAAGGTCTTTGAGGTCTTATTCTATCCCGATGAGTCACCTTCATGTATCAGTCCCAAGCCTTGTCTTCTCTTCCTAGTGGCCTCCCTTCTCCACTGCTCTTTCCTCAGTATCATTCATGCAGGTTATTTGCAAACACATAAAGTTAGTAAGATAGCGAACCTTACTGTAATTCCCGACCTGTAGGGATGCATCATTTTGTAGGAAAATACCCATGTGACTCAGATGTGCCACTCTATAGAGGATTATGGATGACTGGCATCCCTCCCATGCTGAAACAAAGAATTCTTCCCCATCACGGTGTTTGTGCGCCAATTACCTTTCCAGCTGAAGTGGCCTTGATGCCTCATTAATTGTGTCATGTTCCAGAGCAAGATTATTATATTTTCTCCTTCTCTAAATTTTCTAGCGACGGCAGCAGTATGTCTGCAGAGTATGAACAACTGGTTTATACTCCTAGGTTTCTTCTCCTCTTCTTCCTAATAAAGAACCTAAATAGTTAGATACTAAGAACAATGACATTCTTTTTATGTGGTTACATAGAATGTTTATAAGTTGTATTCATGAGAGTGAACAAATAATAAGCTTCCTTGTTATTTTCACAAATTCTAATCTTGTTTTCATAAAAATCTTCTTTTGCTGATAATCAAAAATAAGTCACTCTTTTAAACTGAGACTATAATCTTAGCTTATTGCTATAATAAAAATGTTGGTTTTAATCTAATGTGGTGTAAATCTCTATAAAGAACTACTCTACAAAATTTGAAATAATAACCATACAGATTTTGAAAGATCAAAATTGGCAAAATTTCTTAGCTGGCAGATATGTATCTTATAGAAGTCCTTATGACAACTTTACCTCAAACAGCAGACGGAGGTAGTACCAGCAAGCTTTATACAATAAAAACTATAGTGTTAAGATATACTGAATGACATAAAGATTTGCTACTAACATATCATCACTCCAACTATCATTTTTTCCTATATCTTGGAACCTTCTATATATTGCTACACCATATAGGTTATATTGTTGGACATCTGCAGAATCTATGCATAATACAAAAACAAAACAAACAAACAAAACAAAATGTTACCTTACCTGGGCCTTTGATTCAATTTGAGTTCTGAGGCATCAACCACTTAATGATTCAGGGAAATAAGATATTTGATAATTTTACAGCAAACATGACCTAAAGTGAAGAGGAGTAAACAAACCCCTGTGGTTACATACCGATGTGTTATAATGAAGAGGTTCATCCTATATAACAGTAGAGATGCTTGCGAGAAAGTACAGAGCATCACTAGAGAAGAATATGTGACTAAGTCTGTAAATGTGCGTACTCCAAGAACATGACCTATAATAGTTTTTTACATGTGTGATTTTGAAAAGCAACCTTAAATATGATTTTCTTCAGGCATCAATATCTCATATAAAAACTGAGCTCCGGTATGTATTCATGTAGAGTAATGATTCTCAACCTATGGGTCACAACCACTTGGAGGGGGTTACATAGCAAATATTCTGTATATCATATATTTACATTACAATTTATAGCTAGCAAAATTACAGTCATGAAGTAACAATGAAAATAAGCTTATGGTTGGGGATCACCATAACGTGAGGAACTGTATTATATCAGTCCCAAGCATTAGGAAGTGTTAGGAAGATTGAGAACCTCTGATGTGGAGGGATTTCTCCTAGGGTGTTGGTGATGGAGGGTAGTGACATTGTAAAAACAAAGAATTAAGCGTCCTTTCAATTCTGAAAACTTTGTTAGGAAGTCATTTAAACTTTTTGCAGCAAATAAATTAACTATAGGTAGCTAGACAGATAACTGACAAAAGGCAGACAATTAAATAGATGATAGAAAGATAGATAGATAGATAGATAGATAGATAGATAGATAGATAGATAGATAGATAATTGGAAATTAATCTGCCATGGCAAACTTCTAGGGTATTCTGTAGGCTATTGTCAGGCTAAATTTTACCTTGTAAGAGACCATGATCATACTCCTGCCGGTACTCAAATGATCCCTTAACGCTTTCCTGAGATACAGGGTTTTGCCTTCCTGAAATCCTATCTTTGGAATTCTTAAGTACTAGATCAACGTATTTTGGCTAAGAAGAGCAGCTTTCTTTTTAATTCCAGAAATGTGGACAGCTTTAACATTATCCAAGACTATCAGGAAGTTAAAGTAAATTAAATTGTATATGCTGACTTAAATCTACCATCCATCTTATTTGGGAGGATACTCAACGTTTAATAAATTCATCAGAGTTAAGCTTTCTTCTGAGTCAGCCACTTAGTGAGTAGAGAGCCATTCTGTGCCAAGTTCCATCTACTGGTCTGGCTTGGGTGCATCCCAATTTTGTGACAAGATTTTCGGCACCTTTTCCTTGGTTTAATCTTTAAGTGGTTGATGCCTCAGGCCTAAAATCATATCAAAGGCCCAGGTAAGCTAAATCTTCCTATAATTTTTGGCTCAAAATGGTGGTTTCCCTTCACCCCTTCTGGAATCAACACATTACTCTTGAGATTCTCATAACAACCAACTCATTGCATGAGCTTTCCTTAAGAGCAAGCACATTCATCCCACTATTATCTCAGTGAGGTTTGTAATCTTGTGAGGTCTTCACCATGTAAGGGAACTCTACAGAATGATAAGACCCACCCAGAGAAGTTAGAAACAGAATAGCTTGTGTTTAGTTCAAGTTCTAGTGAATCTTGGAAAATACTTTCGTGTCTTTCTCAATAATTGAACAATATTCATACCCTAGAAACGCAAGGTAGACAAATGTACTTAAACAAGAAAACTAATTTTTTTTATTTTTTATTTTTTTGCAATTAGGACATTATTAAGTCATTTAACCCCTTTCATTACCTCCCCCTCACTCTCTCAAATTTATAGCCCTATTTTTTAATAGATGAATGTGTGTCTTCCTAGAGATATTTCTTTAATAGATGAGTGTGTGACCTTCCTAGATGAGGAGGTCTTCCTAGATATATAACTACAACAGGCTTAGACTATATCATGTTATACACACACACAAACACACAAATATATATTTACATATATATGATTTTAGTTCTGGACGCTTGGTACCGGATAGTTTTAAGATGACTTCAGTATTCTGAAGAAATCTTAGAATCCAGAGAAAATAAAATTAACTTGGTGTTTGATATTTATATATAAATATATATATATATATATATTTTTTTTTTTTTTAAATTTGGCTGTACTCAGAGCAATACAGTCTACCTGGGATATACTTCCTTCCTACTTCCCCTGTTTAAATACTGAACCTCACCAATAGTTCAGTGTTCCTCTTGTATTCAGTTTGAAAGAGCCTATAAATTTTACTTCCTTTTTTTTCCTACTGTGTCATCTTCTTCTTCTGTTGTTTTGATTTACTGCTTGGAGCTGTTTTAATATGTATTGACTGTCTGCAGGGATCTTTGCTGACCCAGCTCTTTAAGATGATGCAGTACTGAGAAAGCCAGGGAGTTCTTCTTTACGAGCTTTGACATATTAATTAGCAAAATGGACTAAAAAGCTTTCCGATTTCTGTTTTAATTTCTTATATTCTCAAACACCTGTCTATACAGCTGTAAAACAGGCGAGTCTGTGAAAGTAATGGCGAGCACTAAGTACAGACCTTCTTTGAATCAAGTTTATCAATTAAGAAACACATTCTTATTAGCAGCTGAGGTGGAGTTCTTCGTACCAGGAGCCATGCAGCCATGAGGTGTGGCTGACATGCTGACACAGTTGATTGGTGTAGAAATTAAACTTCTAGGCATTTAACCTTTATCTTGTGCCTGGTCACTGTGGTCCTAGGTAATGAACCCAGATATTATGCTTTAGGGACATTCATGTTTTTATAGAATGTTCTAACACTGTATAGTCCCAGGAATTGAGAATAGTGGCAAATACTGGTCCTTACATCCCATTCTATTAGGAAGACATGACTGACCTTTTGTAAACTTGGTTAATTGAAAAGGAGACACATATTCTAGACTGTGTTACTTTCATCAAAATGAGAGACATCTAATTTTGCCTTAGTTTTCTCTCACGAAAATATGAAAGTCTATAGGTATATGAAAGAGTGGGTCAAGTTGAGAGATATAGGAAAGAGAAAATGTGTGTGTTGACTATAAGTTATATTAAGGTATATAGGATATGTATTCTTATCTCAAAGTTTAGAGGTTAATGTGGAGGTTGTTACTTTGGTAAACCTTTCATTCTCTTCTAAGTGTAATGTGTATAATCTTCAAATATAAATATTTTTTTCAAGTGAGGCCTAGGAAGTTTCTGGATCTTTGTAAAAGAATTGAGCTTTTTAGATGGGCATGCTGGTGCATGCCTACAATCTCAACACTCAGGAGACAGTGGTTGGAAGAGCATGGGTTCAAATTCACCTTTGACTAGATGTAAGTTTCAGGCCTAACCCGAGATGCATAG